GACTATGTGATAAAACAGCGTACAATGTCACAATGTCACATTGACACACTTGAAGAATAAATACACAGAAAGTTTCTGATAAAGATGTCTTAACAATACAATTTAAGCAGATTAATAAAACAGTTTAGAAAGTTTTATAGTTACATTTTCATTATTTCTATGGCCTGCAAAGAATTTTTCGGTCGGTCAGTTTGTCCTTGTGGAATTTTTGTATGTAAACTGTTCCCACGGTACTGGAGAAAATCACAGTCTGGGGGCTTTAAAAAAAAGTTTCATCATCATAAAACCAACATTAACATTATAAGTGGATAGATGTAGATGCCTATGGGCCGCAGCAACCACTTACCATCAGGTGGACTGTGTGCTCGTTTGTCACCCTTATCGTATAAAAAAAAGTAATAAAAACAAATTTTGTAATCCCAATCACTGGGTGTTATCTGTTGACGTTTCTCTTGAGCTGGCAACGCTACTAAAAAGGACTTATTCACTATAAGGAGTGGTTAAATAGAATAACTCCTTTGGTAGTGGTTTCCGACGGTGGTAAATGGCGGATTCGAACCACTCGACTTTCAATATCGCTACTTTCGCCCATTGAAAGCATGATACGCATTACGCATAATACTGCACATTCAATCATGTTAAGATTTGATGGCAGAATGAAGTAACAGAATGGTACCAAACCAAATGTTATGCATTAACCCTTAATCCTCTTAATTTGTCACTGATGTACTGCCATACATGAACGTAAAAAATTAAACCGATAATAAATTACCAAATGTACATAATAAATTTAATTTATTATATTGCAACACTAATATTATTTGTCAAGAAAAATAAAACATGTTTGGACAAATATTTAACACAAAAATATCATTAATACAAAAAAATGACAACCCGGAAAAATCACCAGCACTGTCCAAGGTATTTATAATATTTTTAATGATTTACAGTTATTAATAATGACTAAGAGTTTTGAGCGAATACAATAAAAATATTTTTTGCTTTGCATAACAATTGTAATAAAATATTTACGATTATGATAATAATTGTGAAGATTTTGGTATACAATATAATTAAAATTTGCAAATTCAGTATGTGAATTTATAGATTTTAGATGCCTTAAAGTACCAATTTTCCTAACAACAAGATTATTTCTACTTTTTAAAATGTTTATTTTTGTTTCATAATATGCGATTTTTTTAAACTTGTTCAGTTTTTTTTTTTAGTTTTTTTTTTTCATTTCTAGTCTTAGAAACAGTTTACTGATTAAAAAGATAAAGATTACAAGATGTCAAAGTTTCTGTGAAAGTGATTATAATTATGATTATATATAAGTAAACATATAAGACATTTTCACTGTTTAATTAATTTTAAACAGTGGTAGAGCCACGCGTCAGCTTTTGCTGTCGCACGAATGGGCCGGCTCGAACCGGGGTGGTACCACGACCTCATAGAAAACCAGCGTGAAGTAGAGGTTTACCTCTGCGTTTCGCTTGGTGAGTGCAGGTGGCCGGAAGCCCTTTTTACTGGAAATGAGGCATTCCATCTTAGTCCTCACGGGTGACAACGCATCTACATTTTGATTTGTAACAAAGGATAGATGTAGATGTCTCTGCAGCAACCACTTACCATCAGGTGGACTGTGTGCTCGTTTGTCACCCTTACCCTATAAAAAAAAATAATATGTTCTAGTAAATTCGCAAATCTCTCGGGTCGAGTGGAGCTTAGTAGTATGAGTTAATTATTGTAAGCCATACAAATAATTGTTCCATGTTAGATACGAACTAGCGGCCCCCAGTACAGGCGCAAATTGCTCATCCACTACTATACTAACGAGCCGTTACGTGGTGCCTGTATTGAAACGTTGTTTAATGTCCAGTCTATCACCTATCAGTAATTAAATGCCTTCAGCAAACGAACCCCTAAGCGGAAAAAGAGCTTTAACGTCTACCAGTAGTTTTGATTTACCAGTAAACTATGTGATTTTGTAAGCGTAATACACGCAATTTTCTACACGTAATGCACGCAATTTTCTTCACTTTCAATTGATCGTGTAAAGTGGCATTGCATTAATTGAGCCATTTAAGCATATCATGCGAAAGTTTATCGACCTCGCCTGTATTGATCCCAGCAGGCCTCATCGTAAATTTTATGAACTAGTCAATAGTGAATAACTGTTGTTTTTGAATACATATATTAGTCTTGTCTATAATCGTGTTTGATTTTCAACTTATGAAATTTTTGGCGCGAAGTTTAGAGCAACGTAAAAATATGTTCTCAATATATTATACCTACTGGATATTTATAATCAGTGCCTTAATGTAATTTGAAGAATTTTTTTTTTAATTAAACCAGGTCTATCGTGACCAATGTATTATATATTCTGCAAATCACTGTAAACGTCGGGAATAAAAAATAAAAACGCGATAAAATCCGTAAGATTAGTTTTATTCAATGTCTACACATTAATCATTTTACAGAATTATAGCATAAATATCAGAAATCATCGGTGTACATATTCGATTTATTAATTGTTAAACTTAAAGTGCTGCCAGAATTTCTATAAAATATAAATTATTTGGTTAAATTTGAAAAAGTTTATTGCAAATGAACATGCTTAAGTGGCAATGTGCAGGCCATATAGCTCGACAACCGACCGAACCGTCAGCCGGCGGGGAAGAAAAGTCCTCGAGTGGTAGCCTTGTACAGATAGGCGAAGTGTAGGGTGGCCCCCCACTAAATGGAGAAACGATCTGCTAAGACATGCAGTAAGTCGATTGTCGCAGGTGGCTCGGGATCGTGCTTTGTGGCATTCCTTGGGGGAGCCCTATGTTCAGCAGTGGACGTGTGATGATGATGATGAAATGAACTTTATACAGATTGTCCCTGTAATTTAATATAGAGATTGGGATTGTTGGTTTTAATGTTAGGAATTAAGGTCGTAAAGCTTTTCTACCGACTTTAAAAAGGAGGAGGTACTCAATTAACTGTATGTTTTTTTATGTGTTACCTCATAACTCTTTTCTAGGTGAACCGATTTCGATGATTCTTTTTTTATTTGAAAGCTGGTGCTTCTCATGTGGTCCCTTACAAATTTGATATAATATACTAATAGCTTTTGGGTTATCCTTAATAATTTATATTGAAGTCGGATGTACAAAACTTTTAATTTTTAATTATTTGTAGAGGTTTTTTGTAGAGCAATTATCTGTGCAAATATCCACTACCATATTAGATCCCGTGGGTGCCTAAGAGGCGACAGAGGGGAACAAATCTGGAGATGGGCAGCAGCGTCTTCCTAATAACGGCTAAATATAAAAATAAACTACGGTTGCCAACCAGCTTGCCAAGCGTAGCAACTATGGCAAATATCCTCCTCATGAGTCAATGTATGGGAGAGGCCTATGTACCATACCATAGGATGACCATAATTATCTGTGATCAAGGTAAGGGTGGTCCATAGTCTATGGACCACCTTTACTAAGGCATAGACATCTACACCAATTCTATATCAAAAAGCAAATGCATTGTTACCTCTGAGGGCTAAGGTAGAGTTCTACGTTATCAATAATAACCGACCAAGTGCGAGTTGGATTCGCGCATAAAGGGTTCCGTACAATCGTAAAACACGTTTCTAGTAGGGGTGCCCCCTTTAATTTTTAATTTATATTTATTTTTATTATTTAATTATAGCGGCAACAGAAATACACATTATGTGAAAATTTCAACTGTCTACCTATTAAGGATCATGAGACACAGCCCGCTGACAGACAGACAGAAGGACGGACGGACAACGGAGGCTTAGTAATAGCTTCCCGTTGATTAAACACCGGGTACGGAACCCTAAAAATGGTTCCGGTTCACTTTGCTCAATATATGAAATATGAATCAGCAGCATTGTTCTTCTATTTTAAGCTAGTATTTTTACATAAAAACCTATTCATCATAACACTGCAGCAGCTACGACGTAAAATTAATTTAAATTATTTTTCTTTTAGTTTATTCGTTACGGTTAATAAATTAACTAGCTGTTATCTTATAAATGTTATTTTAATTTAGAGCTCGTGGCCTTGACTATTATATTTTAATTTGCCGTGTTAAATCAACGTTTCCTCGTTCAGCTAATTGAGCCCACAAACATGATCATATAAACTATAGGATTATTCACACCTAAGTGAACGGATTTGCACTCGTGCAAGCACACTCATCATCGTCATCATCAGCCTGTAAAAGTCCACTGCCTGTTCTGTTGCAGGATTTGCTTTTCTTTTTGACTCAAGTTTTAGCAGACTTATACTACTACTGTATTCACTTTTTTTTGTATATATGTTACTTTTTTGTATAGAATACGGGTGACAAATGATCACACAGTCCACCTGATGGTATGTGGATGCTGTGGCCCATAGACATCTACATCAGTTCTCGATTAAGAATCAAAATGTAGATAAGTTGCCCCACCACTGTGGACTAATATGGAATAACGAAATAAATAAATGAAACGTGGTAGAGCCATGCTGTAGCTATATTAGTAGTATAGTTGTAGCACGAATGGGTTAAAAAGAGGCATTCCATTTTATTCCTCACGGGTGACAACGCATCTGCATTTTGATTCTTTATTGAGGATAGATGTAGATGTCTATGGGCCACGGCAACCACCATCAGGTGGACTGTGTGCTCGTTTGTCACTCGATCCTATAAAAAAAATACATCTGACGATAAGAGGCTAATTGCGACGTCACAAATCGTTCAGTTTTTTAGAACTGTCGAACGTAATTATTGTGAAAAATTTAGATAAAATAGATACATCTATATAAAGTACACGATTTTTCCATTCATGTTTATTTTTTAAAACCCTATTGGTGGTCATAGCGCCAGATGTCTAGCACCTTTAAAATCGAGTGTTTCGACCAATGGTCGCGGGGACGCTGAAGTGGTTAACAGAATGAGGTCACAGTTAAACCACGTCGCCGTCGCAAAATCACATAAAATAAAAAACGTACCTCCTCCCATGACAGGATAGAACTCTCAACGGCGCTGATCCACATGTCACCGGCACCGGCGCTCACGTCAATCACGCCGCGCCTCCCACCCCCCTCCTCCGAATGCTGTAAAAATAATTCACATGTTAGCATACCGTCCCTTTTCAAATTATTCCTGTCTGTTATTCTCTGAGGCAACATCCAAATCATGTCTTAGTAATATAAGCTCCCACTTTGAGTAAGTGGTGATGCAGCGGAAGTAGATAAAGCCGCACTGACTTAGCTTAACAAAAGCCTATTCACTTTTGCCTTCAGGACACCTACATTGTTATCGGATGGAAAGACAGATGCTGGAAAATTATACGAGTCATTTGCTGTAATCGTTATAAACGACGAAGCAAACCGTTTGGTTCGAATGGGTAGTATTTTGACCACAAAGGGATGAAGATCCGTCGAACGTCTAGTGGTCCGTTGACAGAAGAACGAGAAAATTAAGTCAAGCAATTACTGCGCACTCTCGTAATGCATCCTTTACAACACCGAAAGGCTGGCACCGAAACGCAACGTGGTAGAGCCACGCTTCAGCTGCATTATGGTTGCAGCACGAATTGGTCGGCTCCACCAGGCAAGACCAGGCTCTGACAGAATAGCATAAAAAAGCAGCTTAATGCTGCTGTATTTCGTCTGGTGAGTGTAGAGACCTGGAGACTTTTTTACTAGTAACGAGGCATTCTATCTTAGTCCTCGGGGATGACAATGCATCTAAACTATGATTTTTAATCGAGGATAAATTAAATGTCTTTGGGTTACAGCATCCACTTACCATCAGGTGGACTGTTTGCTCCTTTGTCACCCTGTCTACTTTAAAAAATAAAATAATCAGATTTAAAAAACAAACTTAAATCATTCACGTAGTAAGCTACCGGCAACGAATGTTCTGGTAAAAAGGCTGCATAGTGGAAAAAATGCTTTGGAAGCTTTTTGTATTTTTAATACTTCACTTAGTAACCGGGGTAATATTCATAATAGCTTTTAGAAATATAACCTGAAAATATCAAAAGATATACGACGGATTTACAAATCTGCTAAAAGATGGGATGAGCTATCATAAAAGATCTGTCTCCACAGTCGGATTTCTCCGGTCGTTTCCATAAAATTTGCAACCTTTTCAATGGATTATCGCATTAGTCTTAAAAAATTTTATACTGTCTTGGTTATAAGATCTTTTCAGCGGCTTAGTGTAACGATTATGCCTTTCCCGAAGTAATTTATTTGTAAATACTTAACCTTTCCTGTTTCAAGTTATCTGTGTCATACTTAGTGCCGATTTTTCAATTATCAGGTAAAGATTATTCATAGAATAAAGAAGTGGGATGCAGGAAGTAAAGACTGTGTAAAAATCTTCGAAGGAGGTGGAGTTATAGTCGAAATAAGAATTTTTTTTGGTTTTTGGTCATTTTAACCCCCTAAGAGTGTAATGAGAACTTTTTGCCCCTATTCGACCATGACCCCCATGACATCCTCTACAACTCTACATGATAGACTATTCAAACTGGCTATGCCTAAAGTTCGAGCCACCCCCAATTTTTTTGGTTTTTGGCCATTTTGACCCCCTAGAGGTGTAATGAGAACTTTTTGCCCCTATTCAACCATGACCCCCATGACATCCTCTACATGATAGGCATTAAAACTGACTAGGCCTAAAGTTCGATTCACGTCACGACTCATTTCTAGTCTTTACTTCCAATTACTTCCAAAAATATAACATAAAAAAATTAAAAATTATATTCATCTGAACAAAATAGTTCAATTGTTTCACTTTTATTTTTAGTCAGGTTATAATTTAATTGATGGATGACTTTTATGGGATGATTATTTTATTTTATTTTATGGATACGAACATTTGAGCCGATAAGAATTAACGACGATCGATCATGAATTTCTTTGAACTTACAACAGTCTTAGTGGTGACTAGTGAGCAAAGATTTTTTTTGGGTTTGAAATTTAAGAAGCTCTGTGATGGTTAAGAAAGGATATTTATTAACCAATCTCAAGTTAGTTATTGAGTGGCGGTTTAGTGTACGGTGTACGGATAACGACCTAGTAGGACTTTCATGTAGTTGATATATGCAGGTTGCTGAGGACTGTGGAAGAAGCTATTGGTCAGCAGTGGACTAGCAGGCTATAATATGTGATAACGTGTTTTGTGTCCACAAATACAACAACTTAATATAATGATAAATGAAATGTAATTGTAAAAGCTATGGTTTATAAAACTATGTAAAAATATAAGATAAGCTTAATGGGGTTTACAGATATTCGAGATTAGGTATACGCTAATTGCACAGATTAAAAATAAATTCACAGGTGAGTTATGAATCATAGGATATTAATGGAACAGAGGAAAAGCTTCGCCAGCTAGTGCAGTCTAAATGAATCTTTCGCACAGTTTACGAAGCACACTTCAACTCGATTACCCGACGACCCACTTTTTAACAACCTAATTGAAATAAAAAAACTCTATTAACGTAATGATTTCTTATATTTACGCGAACACTACACATTTTTAAATAAAACTAATTTTACGGATTTTATCGCGTAAATTAACTTATTTTTATATTCCCGACGTTTCGGGTGCTTTCCCGTCCCCGGACGGGTGCTGGAAAGCACCCGAAACGTCGGGAATATAAAAATAAGTTAATTTACGCGATAAAATCCGTAAAATTAGTTTTATTTAAAAATCTATTAACGTATATATTAAAATATAGTGGCGATGTAAGAACATCCATTTTCCACGTGGTAGAGTCACAGTATGAGTATTATGATTGTAACACGAATGGGTCTGCTCGACCGGGGAAGGACCACGCTCTCACAGAATACCAGCGTAAAATAGCAGCTTAACGCTGCTGTGTTTCGTATGGTGAGTGTAGAGAACCGGAGACCCTTTTTATTGGAAACGAGGTATTCCATCTTAGTCCTCACGGGTGAGAACGCATTTGCATTTTGATTCTTAATCGAAAATAGATGTAGATGTCTATGGGCCACAGCAACCACTTACCATCAGGTGGACTGTGTTGTCGTTTGTCACCCTTATCCTATAAAAAAAAAACTAAAAACCTTTTTTACGCGGTAGAGCCATGCAGCAGCTTTTGCTGTCGTACGGATAGGCCGGCTCGAACCGGGGTGGTACCACGACCTCACAGAAAACCAGCGTGAAGTAAAGGTTTACCTCTGCGTTTCGCTTGGTGAGTGCAGGTGGCCGGAGGCCCTTTTTACTGGAAATGAGGCCTTCCATCTTAGTCCTCACGGGTGACAACGCATCAACATTTACATAGAAAAATATAATTATCATAATTATATATATATATATATATATATATATATATATAATTTTTCATAAAAGTTATTTGATGGTGCGACCCAGCTTGATTAACAACAAATTAACAAATTAACAACATATGCATTTATGAATTGTCATTCCTAAGGATTAAGATGGAATGTATGGTAACAACCAGTGAAATAGGGTACAGACCGTTATTTTACCGTATATTAAGTAAAATACAACATATTTGTATATTAATAAATTGAACATTATATTGACATCAATAAGTGAAACCCGGTCAGCAGAGTTTGACCCCGTCCCTTCGCTTTTACAATAATTGCTATGTTATTGATTTCAGGTAAAAGTAAATTGAACAGCGGCTCGAGTATCGTTCTAGAATATCTGCCGCAGGATTACTAAACAAATACATGTCCTTGTTGGGACATATTACTGTTAACATTAAAGTTTGATAAGTATATCGAAAATAAAATCGATTGAAACGGTTAATGAAAAAACATAGTTATTTTAAAAGACCCATCTAGAGATACTTTATTTAAAAAAGGTCTAGAAATGTTTTTGCATGTCCTTCATACCAGGGAAGTGCAAAATATCGAGATACGGCAGTGTGTCCGCCAAGTTAAGAACAGAAAATGGCGATGAATAGAATAGAATAGAATAGTAATCAATTTTTTTTTTGTAAAATATATTTAATTAATTAAAGTATGCACCGTTTGTAAAACATGGGGGCGAGACTCAATAAACTTTTTGAAGGCGGTTTGGACTGCCGCATCGGAGTTGAATTTTTTTCCTTGTAAGAAGTTGTCCGAATTCCCGAAAAAATGGTAATCTGTTGGAGCAAGGTCCGGGGAGTACGGTGGATGTCGCAGACATTCCAATTGTAGCTCATCTAACTTAGTGGTTGTTTGTTGTGCAGTGTGTGGTCTTGTGTTGTCGTGAAGCCGCAGTGGCCTAGAGCGATTGACCAATATCGGTTGTTTAGCAGCTAGTCCTTCCTTCATGGTTTGCAGTTGCTGACAATAGATATCAATCGTTTGGCCAGATTTTAGAAAGCTGTAGTGAGCGACACTGGCGCTAGTCCACCAAACACTCGTAACTTTTTCTGAGTCAATTTTCGTTTAGGGAAGTTTTATCACTTACCCCGAAGCCTGCAGCTATCTCTGAAGTGCTTTGTGATGGATCCGCTTCCACAATAGCCTTTAATTCTTTATTTTACACTTTGGTCTCCGGCCGTCCACGGGGTTGGTTCTGAAGGACGAAATTTCTAGAACGAAAACGTTGAAACCAAAAACGTACCGTGCTTTCTTTTGCGACACCAGCGCCGTACATATCATTAATCCTTCGAGCTGTTTCTGCAGCACTGGTGCCACGGTAGAACTCGTACTCGTAAATATACCGATATTTCATGTTTTCCATTGTGCGGTAATAAGCGACGCCAAAGAAAAAAATAATGAGGAAAAAACAAATGAATGACTGTTTTCAAAACTCAAATGTATCACCTAAATGAATTTATTAATTTCAATTTGGAGTTCTTAATCCAAGACGAGATAATTATTTCAGATCAAAGTACCATTTCGAAACACTTGAAACTCATATCGCAAAAACTAATATTACATACTTAATAAGAACAAAAACAAACAAAAACTAATATTACTTCTAATGTTGCATACTTAATAAGAACCCTTTAAATACCTAAATTTCTTAAATAAACCTGTTACAGTTCTTGAGTTATTAAGGTGCAATTTTATTAACTCATCAAAAATCTAGGCCAGCATCAAGGTAGAGA